TAGCAATGGAAGAGTAGTAGAAATAAAATTCACAGCTACATCACTTTGTAAATTCTGTACATCAGATATCATAGGCACAGAAGTGTTAATATAATTCAGGGAATTATTATCAGATTTCATTGATGGATCTTTGCCAAAGAGACACCATCCAAGACATGTAAGCAAGGCTCCTGGAGTACCAGGAGGTCCGACTCGGGAATCAGTAAATGGACAATTACCCAAGGTATCTGCCCCAATTAATAGTTCAACATCGCCATCAATATCTGGGAACTTCAAACCATCCAAATGAGGATATTTGTCACTTATATCCGGCTTTGGCAATGAATCTCTGACGTCAGGAATTTTGTCAAAAGTTAAAGCATTGTGTACTTCAACAACGTTAGTATTATTCACGCCATTTAGGCGAAATGATACTCTTTCTCCAGTATGAACAACGCTCTGGTTTACCAGAAAGGCCAATAGATTTTGCTAGACGAGTAGAGCAAAATGATCTTTGAGATCCTAGATCCAAGAACAAACAAACATCTTCAAAAATTCATTCTTTAAAGGTGAGTGTTCTTAGTTGAAAGTCGGGCATATTTAATAGACCAGGGACGGATAAATTACGACCCGCAGGCGTGATCCGTCCTAACAAAGTGTTTCAAATGTCCCATTTGTGCCTGCTGATATAAGACTATAGTCGTTATGGCTATAAATTGTCGCTGGAAATAACGAATCGTTGGCTAAAGTAAATACTAAACTCCTCACGTATTATCCGAACCTAAAGATAATGTGAAAACGAGACACAGGCAGGTGGTTGTTACCAATGATTTGTATATAAACTTCATTTTCATTCATAGTTCCATTTTGAGTTTTGATCTCCGGCCCTCTAACCAAGTCGATTATCTGTGAGTGGCCCATTAAGGAAGTGGAGGGTTCTCAAGCTTTTGGTGCTATGGATCCCCTGGAGAGATTAACTAATATTTACGGAGTCCTGCAATAAATTGATAAAAGTAAAATTTCATTAATTCTTTTCATAATTGCTTCTCTGGAGAGTTACAAAATTAGCCAAGTTAGTATTTTAATAAGTAAACGAATAACTCGCAGAGTCCTTAGGCTTCTCTAACGTTCCGTTTAGAGAACTCGGAGGAGCTATTTCTAGGCCCTAGTGGTCTCTCATTGTCTAAATCCGGCCATGACATTGCCAAATTTATCATTAGGCAGGGTAGGCTGAAGCTTAACTCTTTGAACTCTGAATCCCCAGAACGACGCTACTCTCTCACCCTGACCTCCCACGGCATCGCATCAATTTGACGCGTTAGAAGATTGTAATATCTCCAATTTTAAATCAACATAACTTCTAAACCATTAGATATCAGATGGTCTGTAATATGTCATATAAAAGCTTATTTAGTCTTTTATTTTAAACTGGCATTATTTTTTACGAGATGTTTTGATGAGATGTGTAATCCTATTTTTAGTCCCACCTACCATTTTTTGTATTTCGATAAGATTTAATACCTTTTTGAGAAATGTATCATCAATGTGAGTAAAATAGTGAAAAGTATACAAAATTACCTTTCGGTGAATATACGGATGACTTTCTTAACATAAGCATAACTCATTTTATTGCAGAATTTGTACTATCGATTCCAATGGTTTGCGAACAAAATTGATCAACTATTTTGACGCCAAGTTTGCGTAACGACGCAAAGGGCGACGACGACATTGTCGTGATAACGTTCACGTGACGTTTCGTGCTTAACGTTTTGCGTGAGGTAGCTTGCGCAATTGCGTTCACAGCTTGAGTTCAGATTGTGTCATCATTGCATCAGTATCATATCCTCGGCCGCAGATTAAACCCTTTTATTCAGACGAATCTTGATCGAACATAGTAAAATTGCTAGACTATAAAGGCCATTTTATATACGTTTATTATTTGAATATGGGACGAAAATGAATGGCCAAAGTGAAATATTTGATCCTCATGCATTTATGAGGTTCCGCCGGAAACATCAAGGCTAATTATTCACCGTTGGATATCATGAAGATTGAATAAAAAAAAAACCGATAACGGGTATACGGAAGACATGGTGGCACCAGTAGCTCACCTGGTCAGTGTTTTACATTTTGCGGCCTCATTAGATTTTCGAAATTACTGCATATACGCTACATTCCTGATATCGCTATATTTACAATGGATTTTAAACGAAAGCTTTGTCCAGAGGAAATATTGGATAGTATTCATCTATCAGAAGAAGAAAATATGGCACAATGAAGTCCAGCATTGGCGCTAAACAATGCATCCATCGATATGTTCCATCATTCCGTTTTTAGAAATCCGTAATTTTGCTATTCGTATTTTTCATATCTTTATGCAATTAAAACGGCAATAACATATTGTGTGTGTGTGTTTTAGTCGAACAGATTTTGAGGCTAGATGTAATGCGTAAATTCCCCCTTGTATCGTTTACAAGTCGTTAGTCACTTCACGAGTACGAACTTAATTAAATAACGTTACGAGCATGCGGGGAAAAGTGTTTTTCGTATGGAACGTAAACTCGCTACGCGCCAACGTAATTGCTTAACGTCGCTGCGTAACGGCGTAAATGTGTTAGGTCGTTATTTACGTCACTTTGACGTCGCCTCGATCTTGCGACAAACAAAATCACGAATAAAAATGCTTCTAAAATTTGAATGGTGCAACATAATTTCAATCTAATGGTATCACTGGAAAGCTATTTTCAACTTCTACAAATGTTATCGATAATGTAGTAGGTTAAAAAGAAAACAAATTGAAGTTTTTCCAATTAGATTTAGAAGTTTTCCAGAAGTTTTTTATGCTTTTTAATTTTGCCAATTTTCACAAGATGATCACAATATTTTATCTCAATTTTTGAATTATAACTAGTCCTGTAGATTATCTTTCACACGATGTAAAACTTGTCTAAATATAATATATGGTTCGCAAGATATGAGGGTTTCAAAGTTGCATAGCTCATACGGGATGCCAAAGCCGCTAAAGCGGCTTTCAGCGTCAGAAGACTTTCTCGGGAAAGCCGTTAAAGCGGCTTTCAGGGTTCAAAGAGTTAAGTTGTATTCTCAAATAAATTCAACATACTATCCAATCCACTTAGGTGATTAGCTTACATATTCAATTAATTTATTCACGCAATTTTAAAATTGTGCATTATGTGGCGGTTTCACGTACGGGTTAGTTCTGGTGGTCATGCGAAGTCATCAAGACTGCGATACTGGTAATCTACTGTGGCAGATTGCATACCCTTACTCATTTGTTTTGGTCTTCGTGTTCATATATTTGATCATCGCTCTTTTTAAGTTTAATCATCATCTTCTATTCCATAACATTGTACATCTTGCATTTCTGTTCCACATTATATTATTGTTATAATCTTTATTGAACTTTGCGACGAATAACCAGAATTGAATACAGGAACAGGGGTTTAACACTTTACTCGTGATTATGCTGTGTTGTGACAAGTTCTGAATCGAGTTCCTGCTGCTACATCATCAAAGTTCGTGCTTTAACTGCGATCGATTGTTGCTGAAGCGTTTTTCAAAGAGAGTAGAAAACTAAGTCGACCTTAGGTACTTGGTGAAATCGCCATAAATTCTAAATACAGTGCGAAGTCAAATTCATCAAAAAAGTTCTAGATAACACAACTTTAAACGATAGGTCGTCAACAACCACGAGCTTTGCTACAATTTCTTCCAAAGATTCATTATTTTAAAAGAATCGATCTTTTGTCTTTCATACAAGCTCAAGTAACCTCCTTCTCAAAGGATTAATCGGTATGAATTTCATGTCTAGATCGGAGTTGAGCGATCAAGAGTCTTTTATAATTGTTGAACGTACTTTTCGTTTACCTCAGCCTTATTGCAGATACAATGTGCCATACTTTATTCTTGCGTTGAGCGCTTACATTTCCGAGTTCGCTGATGTCGTTCATCGTGTAACAGTGATCTTGTTCTTTACACTTGTGACGAGATTGGAATTTTTTTTTTTATTTATTAACATTGTCTTGGTGTCATGTACAGGGGTTTCCAGAGTCGGGTCTGTGGTTTTGACTGATATATTTCACATTGCGCCGGATTTGACTGATCTTTCTCGGCTCAAAACACCATATGTCCACGTTACACAGTTTTATCATGTCATTCTCTCCTCTGACTGATGTTAAAATTGGACGTGTTTTTGTTGCTCTTTGTCATATCTGTTCAAATCCGTGAATTTCTGCTGGGAAATAAACTATTGTGTGACTTTTACAGTACACGGAATCTTCTGAGGGTTTTGTAAACGTGGCAAGCACGCCTATTCGTGAATCCACACCGCTGCACACCGCAACCAGTGACTCAGCTCAGCTACGCTTCAATGATAAATACATGCTCGCTTTTCAGACAAGTAATTCAACGAGTATTATGACTTCATAATGCACTGAAACCTTGTTATAGCTTATTGACTTGATTCGAGTTTACATTAATGTAATACAAGAGTCTATTAAAGGGAATGATTCAAACTCATATTAGACTAACTGTCGTGGAGACAAGTACTAATGATCGACTTGTCATCTGACTCGGATGACACGCGACTAGACATGCAAATCAGGGTTCAGATCTGCGGGTCACAACTAGGGTCCCGTGCCCCCCAAAGGGGTCACAGAGCAGTTAGAGAGGCCACAATGCTAGGCGCAAGTCATATTTATGAGTCTCCTAGCACAGTTGATTTTCATTCGCCTAATGTGGGTCTCAAGCAAAGCACTTAATTATCGAACCACTACTGAACTAAGTTTGTTTCAGAGGTTTGCTTAAATACCTGCCTTAACCCAAGATATTGTGGGCGTGGTCATTTTTTCACGCATAAATAATTTTCTATTTTACGGTTCATTTTCTTTTCTGGTGGATTCTCATGATTTGATTGGATAATAACAAATTCACAAATGATCGAATCAATATTTATTATCACGTTTGGTTATATACAGAAATCACAAATAGACATCTATGAATATTATTTTCTGAGCAAAATGGTCCAATAGACAAGGCGACTAATCCAAAGCATCGGTTATACGGTTAATAATAGTAAAGAAATAATATAAGTAATAAAAAGTGAGAACTCTTTGTCATTTATATCATTCAGTCCGTCAACGAGGCTCTGTCAGGTTTTGAGCTGGTTTTACATTTCACAGATGACACCGTGGCGTGGCCGGGATGGTTGTTCATTGAACATTCCCTGGGGTGCAAACTCTGGATCTTTATTGACATCAACACCAACACTTGTCCACGATGCATCGGTATTCGGATAACCAGTATACCACACTTCTGTTGCTATAGTGATTGGCTCTCCATTTGACAGCAAAAGCTGATTGGCCTGTAACAATTGAATAAACGTCCTAAAATCTGTTTGTTTTGATGTCAATGCGACTCACGCTGTGATTTCCACACAAGTCACAAGTAGTCCTATTACTAATAACAAAATGTCTATTTGCGACTAACATATTAGATTTATAACGAAATGATTTGCTTTTAGTAATGAGTTTAATGGTAAAGACAGTCATCATAGACGAAGTATGGCAAGTGATGTGTAAGAACTACTTAAAAATGAGTCAAAACCAGAAATTGCTGGAAATATCACAAATTCTAAAAAATTCGGCAAATACCAGAATATCAATCGGACGGTTCGTCAATGACGTCACAATTTATTTGTGTTGCAATCATATTGGGGTTTTTTAATTAATAAATCATGAGGCATCGATAACATATTCATTACTTAATAATTTACTCTGCTGATATTGTGATCTATTAACTGACCTTATACTCCATCCCAGTCCAGATCTGAATATATGACCAACCAGCAGTCATCATCGAGCGAAGATAAGTGCGAAGTGATTTGTAATGCACGATGTCGTGAATGTTCGCGGGATTTCCGTTGTTCATTGATTTGCAGATTGATTTGCCATCATTGAAGGTGACATTCCGTGTATCATACACTACTATTCGGAAGCATTTTGTCTTATAATTGAAGTCACATTTAACTGAAAGCAACATTATTGTTGTCATTGAATCTTTTATATTAAAATTTCAGAATTTTTCAACCTGGGATTAAGATTTTGTCGCTTTGCTTATTCTTTCAAAATATAGAAAAACTAATCTATTTATTTCAGAGAGAGGAATGTTAATGTAACGAAACAAAAAACGACAGAACAAAATTGTTTCAGATGTCATAATAGCTATCAAGTTTAGATATATGGTGAGCGAAGTCGTAACAGACTAGGAGATGTGTTAATCACCCAGTGACCACTCAGAGACCAATACTTGAAATTTTCAGTGAATCAAATACTTATACAACAAAGTGTGAGACATATTTTATAGGCAAATCATAAACAAGAAGACACAACGATAACTTACTTTCAGCTTTTTTCTTCTCCTCGAGACTCTTTTTGATCAATCTAGCGATTTCTGTAAATAAATGACATATAACAGTCCTCATCGTTTTATATTGTCCACAGTTTTTTGTCCATCAAAGACCATAATACCTTTGTAACCACTGTATAATTTAACTATCTTACACACCGAGAATATTCTTAGACCATTGCGTAATTACGACTATATCACGAAGTAGGACGAACTCACCGGATCCATCGTCTTTCTGTGAAATATATAAAAAAAAAAATTCAGATGATTAGTGAAGTGAATATAATACGTAAGTTATATTAGTTATGTGAGATGAAGAAGTCGGATTTAAAATTGGGCAGATACTTCAGAAAAAAAAGTTTCTATTTCTTCTAAAAATATTAGCTCTGAAAACATCAGCGGCTACGTTCCCAAAGCCTTGCTTAGAGTCAAACAGTAAAACACTTGATAAAAAATAGTAACTTGATTTAACCTTGCAATCTCCAACTTGGTGGAATTTTCCATCCACGATCTTGGAAACGCAGGATCCAGCTGTCAAAATAAAACGTGATATTTTTAGATTCAATTCAACGACATCTTGTGCCAAGATTATAGACGTTGCTGCACTCTTATATTTTAGAATTCTTGGTACGAGATTGAGGCGAAAGTTGCCTGCCATTCAGTATTTTAAAATCAACCAAGTAATTATATTCGAGGCAAACCTTACTTGAAACTTTTAGCTCCGCAACCAAGCCAGAGACGAGAGAGACGAACAGAATAATTTTGACAAAGTCCATGTTTGCATCCAGAAAGCTTTGATGACGCAACTAATGCTTGTTATAACGTCAATATCTAAATGCAGGATGGTGATTTTTTAGCCTTTTTCCGACTTTCCTGATCTATTTAAGACACAAATTTGAAGTTGATGTGCAACATTCATGAATAACAAGATATAAATTCAAAAATGCAGATAAATAAAAAATAAATAAATGTTCCTATCCAGCTGTGCCTGTTCTGAGTTAGAACAGTGATCGGTGGTACACAGATATGTATCAACTATTGTTGGGCGACATAAAGTTCACCCAGATTCCAAACCACTCACTGAAAACAGGTCGGTAGTCGCTTAGAGAATCAACGAGCCCGCTATATGCGAATGGCCGTAGCAAATGAACAGACAGATATTTTATCTGTGCTGTATCCTTAAAAAATGAAACACAAAAACATCCGCATGACGCAGAATCCAAACATTATTCGCTTATTATATTTGTGCAGTTGAAAGCAGTTTATATTCGCGTGTGGTGTTTTGTTTGACGTCACTTCCTCTGGTATAAAACAAATTGAGAATAGAATATTTTTGTTGCACCCTATTACCCTGTGCGTTTAGTATGTTCTGTTGTACGGCAATGCATTGTGGTATATCTAAATACTGTAAATAATAAGGCATTTATTGAACATCTTCAAAAATTGTAAAGAAACGAGATTTTTTTTTGCTCGAGAGACTCGTACTCATAAATCTTTTACGACATAAGCTATAGCGTTCGCAAACTAATATGACAAACATTTATTTTGTTAACTGTGAGTGAATATGTCGGACATATTGAATAGACCAGGGGCGGGTGAATTACGACCCGCGGGGGTGATCCGGTATAACGAAGTGTTTCTATCCTCTTGTGCCTGCTGACATTACGACTATAATTTTTATGAATATAAATTTCCCTGGAAAATAACGAATCATGCTCAACAAAACAATTCATGCCCAAAACAGCCTACGAAAGATTTACGTCAGCCATTACCACCGGCTTCTCATCTTGGCAGCCAATCAGAGCAAAAAAGAGAAACTTGTGCGGCCCGCGAAGAAACGCCACTTTTAAATGGTGTGCGATACAAGAAACGGGTATTTGATTTAATCTAGTCTGTGCGAATAATTCCGATACCTTGCGTTGCATAGTCTATACTTAAGTCCAATTTATTATCCATGTCTAGGACGTTCCAATGCCCCAACGGATAGCTTTTGCGAAACGTACAACGCTTTTCATAAAATCAAAACACTATCTCTCAGATCATCTACCGCCCAAATACTTGCGAATGCAAAGCAAAATCCTCAAAGCAGGGGAAATTTGGCTCTGGCAGCCGTCGTCACGGTCCGTTGATTCGTATGAAAGTTGGTAATAGCTATACGACATCAAGTTCACCCAGATTCAAAACCACTCATTGAAAACAGGTCGGCAGGCGCTTGTAGAATCAACGAGTCTGCTATATGCGACTGGCCACAGCAAGTGATCAGACAGCGATTTTATCTGAAAAATGGAACATGAAAACACCCGCATGATGCAGCATCCAAAATGCATTCACCTATTATATTTGTGCAGTTGAAAACAGTTTATATTCGCGTGTGGTGTTTTGTTTGACGTCACTTCCTGTGGTATATATAAAACAAACTAAAGAACAGAATATTTTTGTTGCACCCTATTACCCTGTGCGTTAGTATGTTCTGTTTTACGCAAGGCATTGTGGTATATCTACATACTGTATAATAAGACATTCATTGAACATCTTCAAAAATTGTTAAAAACGAGATTTTTTTTTGCTCGAGAGACTCGTACTCATAGATCTTTTACAACATGCTATAGAGTTCGCAAACTGACGAGACAAAAAGTTTCTTCGTTCACTAGGAGTGTTTTTTAGTTGTATGTCAGGCATATTAAATTGACCACGGACGGGTAAATTACGAAACGCGGAGAGGATCCGGTCAAACGAAGTGTTTAATACGGTCCACATGTGCCTGCTGACATTACGACTATAGTTTTCAGGGATATAAATTTCCACTGAAAATAACGGATCGTGTTCAACAAAATAATTCATGCCAAAAACAGTCTACGAAATATTTACGTGAGCCATTACTACCGGCTGCTCTTCTCGGCAGTCAATCAGTGCCAAGAAGAAAAACTTGTGCGTCCCGCGGAGAAGCGCCATTTTTGAATGGTGTGCGGCCTGCGAAACGAGATTTTACCTTAATTTAGTATGTGCGAGTAATTCCAATCCCTTGCGTTGCAGAGTCTATACCTGAGTTCATGCTTAAGACGTTCCAATGCCCTAACAGCTAGCTTGTGCGAATCGAATATCACATGTCATAAAATCAATAACCCAGTATTAAAAAATACAGATAATTTAAAGTTCATATCTAGCTGTTCTAACTTAAAACAGTGATCACGGGTACACAGTCATAAACTGATCACATCTTGATTAGATGTCAACATGAGAATGGCGTAATCTTCAGCAATTATATAGGGTGTTCATATGCTACATCTATCAATACCAACTTTCATGACCTTTGACCGATGCTGCCAGCAACTTTTTCACTGATATTTGAGGGGACGCTCGCCTTACCCCACCGTTTACAGAGTTAGCGCGGTTGCTATTCGTACCAGCTTTGAAAAGTGATGTTTGTCTAATTTACCCATAGCACGCAGACAAAGGCAAAAATGTATGGCCTGCCAATTGCTTTTAAAAGTCAACAAATTATGCTGCAGATTCGTACTACGGTCTGTTTGCAGGTTGATTGAGTACCGGTACCGTAGTGGTGCACCCGTACTGCAGTGCCATCAGAGGACCGGACATAGTGTCAAACTAGTCTATACTGTACCGTTAAACACTATCATAAATCTCAAACAGACATTATATTATTACAACCTTTGTGTATAATATGGGATCAGTGGCCCTTCCTGGGTGGTGGATACTGCCATAATTTGCATCCCTCTCTAAAATCCGAGTCATTTTCAAAACGATGTCAATTTCTGTGTTGTTGAAGTTTTCGATTCGGCCTCGGAGAAATTTTAATTTTGATAACAAGACTTTGGCCTGCAGTTTTAAATAACATTACAGATTAAATTCGGCCTTCTTTGATTGTCTGTTTGCAATGATTACTCAACTTAATGCTTTTTAGGTTTCCTTGAATGATTTTGACTTTACCATTAAATTTTAAAGTTTCCACTCCGGCGAGTTCGACTGTAATGCCGACCTGCCACACTCCGACTCTACAGCCTCATTGCCAGATTTAATACCATAGACTGACTGAGAGTTCTGCAGATTGTGGCTGGAATACACATACACGCACTCGAATCGCTAATTGGCCGTAGGAAATCTCGTCGCAGGAAATTTCGCCAGAGTATTTTGTTGTAAAACGAGTATTTGTAATAGAAACAGTTTGGTTATTGAAGTACTTTTTCATTTCAAAGATGATTCTTTATTTAAGAGCAAACCCTAACTCTAGCCTTATAAACCTAACTGTTTTTATCACAAATACTTGTTTCACACCAAAATTCTCTTGCGGTGAAATTTCGCGCGTCAAATTTTCCGGACACGAACAGTGCTTTCTACCTGCCCAAATTATGCTGAGTCACATTTCACCAACTTCGATGAATCTGCTGAGTAACGTTCTGCGCCTAGCATTGTTACCTCTTTCAAACTGCTCTGTGGCCCTTCTTGAGTGGTCGCGGGCCCCAGTTGGAAATCACCGGTTTAGGACTAGAGACCTAGTGTGCTTTCTAGCTGTTCGAAGCATGCAGAGTCCCATTTTACAAGCTTTGGTAAAATGTTACTGAATAATGTTTTATGTGAACCTAAAGTATATTTATTCAAAGTCATATTCATGAGTCTCCTAACGCAGTTGAATTTCATTTGCCTAATTTGGATCTCGAGCAGAGTTCTTAATCATCAAACTACTATTGAACTAAGTTTGTTTCAGAGATTCTTTCCCTAATATACCTGCCCTAACCCAAGATATTATAGGCGTGGTCATTTTTTCACGCATGGGTAATTTTCCATTTAACGGTTCATTTCCTTTTCTGGTAGATTCTCATGATTTGATTTGATAATAACAAACTCACAAATGATGGAATCAATATTTAATATCATGTTCGGTTATATACAGAAATCACATGGAGTGAGACAGCTATGAATTTTATTTTTTGAGTAAAAAGGTTCAATAGACAAGACGACTAATTCAAGGCACGGGTTATGATGATATTAATAAAGGAATAATAAAAGTAAGTAATAAAAAGTGAGAACTCTTTGTCGTTTATATAATTCAGTCCGTCAACGAAGTTCTGTCAGGTTTTGATCTGGTTTTATATTTCACATATGATACCGTGGCGTGAAGTGGATGGTTGATCATTGAACATTCCCTGAAGTGAAAACTCTGGACTTTTATTAACATCAACACCGACATTTGTCCACGATTCATGGGATTGCGGATAACCAGGACACCACACTTCAGTTGCTATAGTGGTTGGTCCTCCACTTGACAGCAAAAGCTGATTTGTCTGTAACAATTGAATGGAGGCTTTAAAATCTCTTGCTTGAATTGTTAATGCAACTGACGTATTAGATGAAGAATAAAATATTTGCTTTCAGTAATGTGTTTTATAGTAAAGGTAGTCATCATAAACGAAGGCTTGTAAGTTATGTGTAGGAACTACATGAAAATGAGTGAGAGCCAGAAATTACATGAAATATCACAAATTCTGAAATATTCGGCAAATACCACAATATCAATTGCACGGTTCGTCTATGATGTCAACTTATATTTGAAATTACAATCATGTTGGGTTATTCTAATTTTCCAATCCATTGATAAATCATGAGGCATCGTTAACCTGCTCATCGTTTGGTAATTTTATTAAAGTCAAGCTTTGAGCCAACCTGTGACCCGATGAAGTTTACAAAAATAATTCAAACTCTGCTGAGATTGTGATCTATTAACTGACCTTATACTCCATCCCAGTCCAGATGGCAATATGTGACCAATCAGCAGGAATCAGTGAACGTGAATAAGTGCGAAGTGACTGGTAATGCGCGAGGTCGTAAATGTTCGCGAGTTTTCCATTCATTGATTTGCAGATTGATTTACCATCGTTGAAGGTGACATTGTTTCGACCATACACTACTATTCGGAAGCATTTTGACTTATATGTGACGTCACATTTAACTGAAAGCAACATTATTGTTGTCATTGAATCTTTTATATTAAAATTTCAGAATATTGCAACGATCTTGGATTTTAGATTTTGTTGAATTGCTTCATTTCAAAATAGAAATTTCGGTAATATTGTAATCTATTAATTTCGAAGAGAGGGAAGTTGATAAGACGAAACATAAATATAGCGACAAAACAAATCTTTTTCAGGCGTCATAATAGCTATCAAGTTAATATACACGGTTGGTGGGCAAAGTTGTAACAGACTAGGGTCATAAAATTAAATACTCATGCTTTGACGGTGTGGCATATTTTATCTTCAAATTATAAATCTGAAAACTCAAATATAAATTTCTTTCAGCTTTTTTCTTTACATCTAGACTCGTTTTGATCAATCTGACAATATCTGCAAAACAATACTTATTTATTTGTGTGTAGGGTATGACATTTTAAATCAGTTTTCATCATATTATATTGTACATAGTTTTTTGCATCGACGATCCTAATAACTTTGTAACCGCTATATACTTCAACTATCTTACACGCCGAGAATATTTTTGCACTATTGAGTAATTACGACTCAAAGGTCTGTCATACGTTTAAAGTCAACAAAGTATATTTAATAATAATATATATCAAGAAGTAGGGCGAAATCACCAGATCCATCGTCTTTCTGTGAAAGAAATAAAAAATGCAGATGATTAGTTAAGTGAATATAACACGTAAGTTACTTTAGATTTTATTAGTCGGATTGAAAATTGGGTTGCAAATTAAAAAAGCTGCAAGTTCTTCCAAAATATTCGATCTAACAGTATCAATGGCCTTGCTTGGAGACAAAGTGTGTAAACACCTGATAAAAATAGTAACTTTATACTTAACAGTGACTGCTATCCAAAGCTCAGCTCAGAATCAAAGTGAAAACACCTGAAGATAATAGTAATTTCATTTCACCTTGAAATCTCCAACTTGTACGAGTTTCCAATTCACGATCTTGGAAACGCAGAATCCAGCTGTCAAAATGGGATATATTTGAGATCAATTCATCGATAACATGTTCCAGGATTATAGGCGTTGCTACACTCTTATATTTTAGAATTCTTGGTACCGGATTTAGGCAAAGATTGCCTGCTATTCGGTATTTTAAAATCAACCAAGTAATTGTATTAGAAGCAAACCTTACCTGGTACTTTGGGCTCCCCAACCAAGCCACAGATGAGAGAGATAAACAAAATAGTTTTGACAAAGTCCATGTTTGCTACCAGAAAGCTTTGATGACGCAACTAAATGCTTATCTATAAACTAAATATTTGTAAAAATATCCGAAGGTACTATAAGTTGCTTATTTTATAAGCTCTTCGTTGGTTTCAGGATGATGTATTTTTGGACCTTTCTCGACTTTCTTGATCTTATTAATATACAAATTCAAAACAGACAGTGATGTATGTTATCTGTGCTGTATCTGAAAATGAAACATAAAAACACCCGCATGACGCAGCATCCAAACTGCATTCACTTATTACATTTGTGAAGTTGAAAGCAGTTTTTATTCGCGTGTGGTGTTTTGTTTGACGTCACTTCCTGTGGTATATATGAAATAAACTAAAGAACAGAATATTTTTGTTGCACCCTATTACCCTGTGCGTTAGTATGTTCTGTTTTACGGCAATGCATTGTGGTATATCTAAATACTGTATATAATAAGGCATTCACTGAACATCTTCAAAAATTGTTAAAAAATGAGATTTTTTTGCCCGAAAGACTCGTACTCATAAATCTTTTACGACATATGCTATAGCGTTTGCCGACTAACGAGACAAAAAATTTATTCGTTAACTGTGAGTGTTCTTAGTTGTATGTCGGGCATATTGAATAAACTAGGTCGTCGAAATTACGAACCGCAAGAGGGATCCGGTCTAATGAAGTGTTTTACCGCCCACTTTTGCCTTCGAAATATTTATGTCAGCCATTACTACCGGCTGTTCTTCTCGGCAGCCAGGAAGAAAAAACTTGTTCGACCCGCGGAGAAGCGCCACTTTTGAATGGTGTGCGGCCTGCGAAACAAATTTTTAATTTAATCTAGTATGTGCGATTAATTCCAATCCCTTGCGTTGCAAAGTCTATACCTGAGTCCAATTTTTTATCCATGCCTAGGACGTTCCAATGCCCCAACAGCTAGCTTGTGCGAAACGAACAACGCTTTTCATAAAACCAATGACCAACTTTTTGTGCCTGTAACCATCTTAATATACCTGCCCTAACCCAAGATATGGTAGGCGTGGTCATTTTACACGCATGAGTAATTTTCTGTTTTACTGTTCATTTCATTTTCTGGTAGATTCCCATGAATTGACAAAGTAGTAACAAACTCACAAATGATCGAATCAATATTTATTATCATGTTTGGTTGTATACAGAAATCACATGGAGACAGCTATGAATTTTTTTTTCTGAGCAAAAAGTTCAATAGACAAGGCGACTAATTCAAAGCATGGGTTATACGGTTAATATTAGTAAAAGAAAAATATATATAAGTAAGTAATAAAAAGTGAGAACTCTTTGTCGTTTATATCATTCAGTCCGTCAACGAAGTTCTGTCAGGTTTTGAGCTGGTTTTATATTTCACAGATGACACCGTGGAGTGACCAGGATGGGAAATAATTGTACATTCCCTGAGATACATTCTCTGGATCTTTAACAGCCTGAACACCGACATTTGTCCACGATGCATCGGTTTTCGGGTAATTAGGAATCCACACTTCAGTTGCTATAGTAATTGGTTCTCCACTTGACAGCAAAAGCTGATTGTTCTGTAATAATTATTTATTTGCTTTCAGTGATGAATTTCATAATAGAGGTAGTCATCACAGACGAAGTATGGCAAGTGATGTGTTGAAAACTACATGAAAATGAGTGGAAACCAAAAATTACTGGAAATATCACAAATTCTGAAATATTCGGCGAATATATATATCATTCAAACTGTTCGTCTATGACGTCACAGTATATTTGAAGTTACAATAATATTGAGTTTTTCTAATCCAATCTCTTAATAAATCATAAGCCATCGTTAACCTGCTCATTATTTGGTAATTTTATTAAAGACAAGCTTGGAGCCAACCTTGAACCCGGTGAAGTTTACAAAAATGAGTCAAACTCTGCTGAGGTTGTGATCTATTAACTGACCTTATACTCCATTCCAGTCCAGATTTCAATCCATTCCTCGCCAGCAGGAATCAGTGAACGCAAGGAAGTGCGAAGTGACTGGTAATGCGCGAGGTCGTAAATGTTCGCGAGTTTTCCTTTGTACATTGATCTGCAGATTGGTTCGGCGTTATTGAAGGTGACATTCTGTGTACCATACACAACTATTCGGAAGCATTTTGACTTATATGTGACGTCACATTTAACTGAAAGCAACAATATTGTTGTCATTGAATCTTTTTATTAAAATTTCATAATATTTTATCAATCTGAGATTATGATTTTGTCGCTTTGCTCATTCAATGAGACTTTCTTTCAACATAGAAATTTTGGAAATACCGTAATCTAAAAATTTTGGAGATGGTAAAGTTGATAAGACGAAAACTAAATAAAACGACAGAACAAATCTGTTTCAGATGTTATAATAGCTATCAAGTTTAGATACATGGTTGGCGGGCGAAGTCGTAACCGACTAGGGGTTGTGTTAATCACCCAGTGACAATTTAGGGTACAATACTTGAAATATTCAGTAAATCAAATAATATTGTTTTGACTGGTGTGGCATATTTTATCGTCAAATTATAAATCAGAAAACACAAATATAAATTACTTTCAGCTTTTTTCTTTTTCTCAAGACTCTTCTGAATCAAGTCGAGGATATCTGTAAATAAATGACATCTTTTTTGTAGGGTATGGCGTTCGCATTTTTTCATCGACGACCTTGTTTAACCACTGTATAGTGTATACGGTCACGAAAGTATTTTCAAACATAATATATATATCATGAAGTAGGAGAAACTCACCAGATCCATCGTCTTTCTGTGAAATAAATAAAAAATGCAGATGATTTGTAAAGAGAATATAATACGTAAGTTGTTTTAGATTATATTAGTTGCGTGAGATGCAGAAATCGGATTGAATATTGGGTTGAAAATTTAACCAAAAAGCTTCGAGTTCTTACAAAAACATTAGCCCTAACAGTACCAAAGGTCTTTTTCCTAAAGCATTGCTTGGAGACAAAGTGTGTAAACACCTGATAAAAATTGTAACTCCATACATAACAGTGACTGTCAACCGAAGCCCAGCTTAGAGTCAAACAGTGAAAACACACGATGATAATAGTAACTTGACTTCACCTTGCAATCTCCAACTTGTACGAGTTTCCAATTCACTATCTTGGAAACGCAGAATCCAGCTGTCAAAATGGGATATTTTTAAGATCAATTCAATGATAACTTGTTCCAAGAAAATAGGCGTTGCTACACTCTTATATATTAGAACTCTTGGTGCCGGATTTAGACGAAGATTGCCTGCAATTCAGTATTTTAAAATCAACTGAGTAATTGTATTCGAAGCAAACCTTACCCGGCACTTTGGGCTCCCCAACCAAGCCACAGATGAGAGAGATAAACAGAATAATTTTGACAAAGTCCATGTTTGCTACCAGAAAGCTTTGATGACGCAACTAAATGCTTAGCTATGAACTAAATATCTGTAAAAATATCCGAAGGTATTATAAGTTGCTTATTTTATAAGCTCTTCGTTGGTTTCAGGATGATATATTTTTGGACCTTTTTCGACTTTCCTGATCTTTTTAATATACAAATTCAAAACAAATATGCAACATTCATAAAAAACATTATATATTGAATAATGCAGATAAATTAAAAATAAGTAAAAGCTTCCATCCAGCTGTGCCTGTTCTTAGTTGAACAGTAATAACTGGTACACAGTCACATACACATAGACAGATAACGGCTAAATTAGTTGTAAACACCATCATGGCGTGATCTTCGACAATTATATATTTTTAGGTTTTCATGATATAGTTAACGATACATACGCAAAGCAGATATGCAACACCTATCAACCATTATTGTGCGACATCAAGTTCACCCAGATCCGAACTACTCACTGAAAACAGGTCGGTAGGCGCTTGTAGAATCAACGAGTCTGATATATGCGACTGGCCGTAGCAAGTGATCAGACAGTGATGTTATCCGTGCTGTATCTAAAAAATGAAACATAAAAACACCCGCATGACACCAGCATCCAAACTGCATTCACTTATTATATTTGTGAAGGTTAAAGCAGTTTTTATTCCCGTGTGGTGTTTAGTTAGACGTTACTTCCTGTGGTATATAAGAAACAAACTAAAGAACAGAATATTCTTGTTGCACTCTATTACCTTGTGCGTTTAGTATGTTCTATTTTACGAAAATACATTGTGGTATATTTACATTCTGTATATAAAATGGCGTTCATTGAACATCTTCAAAAATTGTTAAAAAAACGGAATTTTTTTTTTCTGCTCGAGAGACTCGTATTCATAAATATTGTACGTCATATGCTATAGCGTTCGCAGACAAAAGAGACAAAAAATTTATTCGTTAAAGGTGAGTGTTCTTAGTTGTATGTCGGTCATATTAAATAGACTAGGGCGTCGAAATTACGAACCGCGGGATGGATCCGGTCTAACGAAGTGTTTTACCGCCCACTTTTTCCTTCGAAATATTTACCGACTGCTCATCTCGGCAGCCATCAATGCAAAAAAGAAAAACGTGTGCGTCGCCCTGCGGAGAAGCGCCACTTCTGAATGGCTTCTATAGCCTGCCAATTGCTTCTAAAAGTTACCAAATTATGTTGCAGGTTATTACCACGGTCTGTTTGCAGATTGGGTTGAGTACCGGTACCGTAGTGGTGCACCCGTACTGCAGTACTATCAAAAGACCGGACATTGTGTCAAACTAACCTACAGTGTACCTTTAAACTCAAACACTGACATATTACGGCAAACTACTTTAGCACAGTATTTGGATTCAACGAAAAAACGATCTCCCAGATCATCTACCGTCAAACCACATTCGCAACATCGCAGCGTCCCCTCAAAGCAAGACGTGGTTATGGCAGCAGTCGTCACGCTCCGTTGAATCGTATGAAAGTTGGTAATTGTTATGCGACATAAAGTTCACCCAGATTCCAAACCACTCACTGAAAACAGGTCGGCTTATAGAATCAACGAGTACGCTATATGCGACTGGCCGTAGCAAGTGATCAGACAGTCATGGTATCCGTGCTGTATATACAAAATGAAACATAAAAACATCCGCATGACGCAGCATCCAAACTTTATTCGCTTATTATATTTCTGCAGTTTGAAGCAGTGTATATTCACGTGTTAAGTTTTGTTTGAGGTCACTTCCTGTGGTATATATAAAACAAACTGAAGAACAGAATGTTTTTGTTGCACCCTATTACCCTGTGTGTTTAGTATGTTCTCTTGCACGCCAATACATTGTGGTATATCTACATACTGTTTATAAAATAGCATTCATTGAACATCTTCGATAATCCTTAAAAAACGAACAAAAGAAACATCGTTTTGCAATCGATAATCATGAGTCTCTCTGGCGCCCAGAACTGTTGTTTGACCGTAAATATATACTACTACTACTAGATGTCCAACTCCGCTCGCCGTATGATAAACAAACAAAGGCGATGTTGCACCTCCAAGTGGCGGGCTGAAATCTTTAATTGACAAGTTAGACCAAAACACCTAGCAGGTCTGATCGCAAATGTTAGTTTATAATAGTCCCGATGGTCTAACTCTAAAAAGTGTTTCAAGCCACGAATTTTTTTTTATGTATGATATAGTAAAACAATTTAGAAGACTTTTATCTCACACTTAAAGGGGGGTCTGACAGATGTTTGGTCTAATATGGTATATCACATGTTGAAGGTACCAGTATTTGGAGCCCTTCATACGCTGGAGAAGCAATGAAAGGTTGTGGATTTTCAAATATGACTACAGAATGTGTTGCATGTAGTTGTATAGCATTTATTTTGTTGAAAAATCCTTGAGCTAATTACCTGTTGTAGACTTCCAGTGTCTAAAATAATTTATGAAATTTTAGCTGATCCACTGCAGTCTTTTGTCTCCAGATGTTTTAGAGAGTAGTTGTAGATTTCCGTTTTTGAGGGAAGCCACGTCAGTAGTGCTGTTGCATATGTCAAATAAGATTTTTTTCAGTTTGCAAAACTTGGCGTTGCTTCAACTTCAGACATCTTCGAAATCCTAGCAACAGATGCAGGAAGAACTTACAAAGAAAAATTTCCCCGGTTTATCTGTTATTAATTACCTGAATACTGTTGGTAATTTTTGAAATATAAATCAGGATCCAAGTATTCAAATGCTCAATAGAAGATAGATCTAATAGGAAAATACAAATGAATTAATACCAAAACAATTCTTTGTGCTACACCTGTGCTTAATATTTAACAGGCATTTTTATCAAGATATTGAGTTAAACATGTTGGTCTGTTAGTTTACATGGCTATTTCAAATGTTTTTTTAGACATATCTTCATAAATCCCCTTAGATGTGTTCCCATGCCAAAACCCCATCTGGTGACAGCAAATCATTCTTCAAAAGTGAGTTTCGAGACGTCTGCGAAAATTTATATTTTAGTTACGATATTTTGTAATAAATTGCTCACAACGATTAAACCTTGTCTACCATCTAAGCATGTATGTGTTTATATATAAGTATAACAGCCACTTTGACAAAGTATTATTTGAAACAAAATGTGAATACCCCACAAAACCAAATTGGAATTAATAAAATGTAACGGTTCCAGGAGAAATGTTAATGCATTCAATAAATGTGGTGGATTTTGCAGTATCAAAAAAGTTATTGCTATTGATCACAAATCAATAATTTAAAAACACTCGACAAAATAATTCAAAACTTATTGGCACATTTAAAATTATAAATATATATATATATGTTGAAGCCATGTTTAGATAATGGCAATAATAGGTATCCAATTTATATGAAAAAGGTTATTAGTACCAGCCTGAAATCAAGCAAAATGGATTATCATGGCAAACGCAAAACACCTCTTATGTTGTGTATGCAGCTGATGACTTCGTATACAATGAAAGAATGAGTCTGGGAAAAAATTATCAAGATCAGCAGAACTCCATCATAAAACACTGATTAATTGAAGTTAAAATATGTGTGTTTAATTAATGTTTTTCATACAGACGTCACAATTTCAATCACATATCAGTCAATTTATATTCTTGCTTACTGCTTTGATCACACAGCATAAATCCTCACACTGCAACTTTTTTATGATCCAAAAATACACATATCTCTTATCAAAATTTACATTCCTCGACAAATTATTACTGTGTTGGGTACCTATAAGAACATTTACAACTTACTCTTTTTATGCTGAACAATCGTAGCACAAAGCGGCTCTCCACTAGACAACTTCTACTCATGGGAGCTTTAAAATGAATTTAAAATCTTACTGTCAATGTGCTTTCGAGTGATGAACCGGTCCTAGGGCCTTCCCACTCAATTAATTGTTCCTCTATTTTGTTTTGTAATCTGCATTCTATCAGTTCTATAGTCAAGTATAGCGTGTAATATTCCATGTGCAAAACTAACTTGAATATTTATAAGTCACTCACTTAATCTTGACGCGAGACAGCGCCGTCAGAACACAGAAAACGCAGGAAGTCGCACGATGATTTTCGAAGCAATAATAATCTGTTTGCACCAAGTCAAGCGTGTCGGCAAATTCAACATCGGGAGAAATTTCCGTTACACGGGTTGCTTTGACTACAACCTTTGTTGTGTATGATCCGGGGTTGGAGGCCCTTCCCAGCTGTGAATTCTGTCATAATTTGCATCTCATTTCGAATTCTGAGTCATTTTAAAAACGATTCCAATTTTTATGTTGTTAAATGTTTTGACTCGGCCTTGGAGAAACCCTAATTTTGATACAAGACTTTGTTTTAAAGTTTAAATTTATATTACAGTTTAAATTTGGCCTCCTTCGATTGTCTGTTAAGAATGATTAGTCAACTTAATGCTTTTTAGCTTTCTTTGGATAGTTTTGAGTTCGCCATTGAACTTTGAAATTCCCAATCCCGCGAGTTTGAAAGTTCGACTCCGATACCAATCTGCCAAACTCCGACAGCCCCGTTGCCAGATTTGATATATTAGATTGACTGGGAATTCTGCAGATGGTGGATGGAAACACACGCATGCACTCAAATCGCTCATTGGCTTTAAGATTCGCTGGGTAGAATAATCAAATGAAAAGCTATGATTTTAAATGATTCGCGTCAATCAATAGGTTGAAAGGAGACTCAAAATTCTAAAGTCAAAATGACCACTTTGTAACGTTATGTTGATATTCTGCGTAGGTATGGAAACACCCGCTAGGTGGCGCATTTTGTCACGGCACCGAATATTTGATTTTAACCGACTGCCTTACTTTCGTGCGAAGAAACTCCACATCTGAAACGAATACCTGGCTAACTAATCCCATACGCGACATGGAATGATAACCGGGCAAGAGGCCGTGATTCGCCATATTGTTAACCCGTTTTATCGGCTTTCCTCTTTCCCGGGATAAATATGTAAATCCTATCCTTCGTGTCAAACAGCGCAATAAACTGGCGGATGCGAAGAAATCTTAAA